CACACCAACACACAACACCACACACCACACACACACCCACACAACCACACTACACACACACATGGAAGAACGTACGGGACGTCTCGGACGACGTCCTTCGACTCGACGACTCTCGCACACAACAGGAGGAGCGACTAGTAACCAACCAAAGACGGAACAAGGCACACAAACTCGTCGAGGTGGAGCAAGGACATCCGCAGGTCGACCGTCGCGTTCTCTCAGCAAGAGGAGGAAGTTCCGAAGGCGAACCCTTTGCCGACGCCCTAGTGTGTATTTCAAGTGCATACCCCATGTCATTCCACAAATAATACATATTTATGTTTTGTAAGACCAAATTTGGGAATATGGCTGTATACGTTAATAAGGAAGATGCCACGAATGTATGTTTTACGAATAAGGTGATAGGAGGGCAAGATGTACGTCGTCACGTTAAAGAGGACTAATTTCTTTTGTTGAGTACTACATACAACAAGAAGTGCGGTATATCTCAAAAAAACATTACAAAAAGTCGAGCATTCCTTGACTTACGTTGGTATTGTCGCTTTGTGGGAAATTTTTATAGGGATTACACATTAAGGCAATCTCAATTTGTGAGGTTGTGAGTAGATAGGTTGGCGAGTTAGTACTACTACACCTGACCAACCTAAATTTATAACTATAGCAAATACAAACTTACTTAGGTCGTTGTATTCGCAGGTCTGAAAACATGACGAGCAGCGACTGGTGCGAAAAATGAAGAAGTCGTTTACCGGTGTTTTGTACGTTGTACCAGACCAGAAATGACAAACCTCCTCTTGGACCTCCCCCCTAGGTCTCTGCGAGTACGGGGTCCCCAAAAAGGGATTACTAGGGACGTTATAACAATCGTGTAAGTCCAACTTACACCAGTTCTGTGTTCAAATATTTAATGAAAATTTATTTTATTAACGCGAGACTTTTTGAATCTATAAAAAAGAATCATTTCGAAGTGGGTTGGCGAAGGGTGTTGGTCCGATAACCCAAAAAATTATCTTAGAAAAATTTAACCCTTTTAACCCTTTTGTAAACCCAGAGTTCGGGAGGACGGGAGAGACGGGTGGAAGGTGGTTTAGATAGCTAACGTTCGGACCTGTGTTTTCGAATTGTTTGGGGGTTTTGCCCTTCGGCCTAAAAGTTTAAGTCTTACAAACGCGGCGAATTTAGGAGTTCCCACGGGATTCCTTTTGTTACAACTTTTGGTTCGAAGCAAGAACCATTTAACCAAATAAAAATGTGATAAGTGCAGTCACAGTGTATTTGAGACTTTCGCCAATTTATAGGGGTCTTCAACAGAACAGCGTTATGAAGAGATGACCTGGTAAACCCCGGGACTTGGATAAACCCTAGAGAGAGGTTTGGTGGCAAGAACCAACCAATGATCAGCGAGGAGGACAACACACGCTCTCAGCAGCTCAGCTTCCTGCAGCAGGCTCTGCAGGGCATGCAGAAGGTACACACACACACACACACACACACACACACACACACACACACACATACACACACATTTCCCAATCATCTCCGCAACAATGAGTTTAATCTCCATTTCCTTCTTGTTGCATTTTGTGCCGCTATTTAAGAACAAGGTCGCTCCGACCAGTCATTTATTCATGACCCTGCACTTTAAAAGTGAGTGCTGTGCGGGACCAGAGTGGAAAAGTAGAGCTGTCAGGAGAAGCTCATTTCTGAAGAGCTGCTAAAGTAATATATTCAGCTTTTCTTTGGTTAAAGGGAAGCTTATTTGCAGTTGGAATGGGTTTCACTCGGATTGGAGAGCTTTGATGCGAACAGTGCACAGATACTTCCTGGAACAAATCCAAAGCTATTTAACAATTGTAGGCGTGTATTAAAGGGAAGATTATAAAAAGTATTTGGATATTGTAAACGGGCCTCGCATATTATTCAGTATATATTTTGGAGTTGCTGTATTAACGTTCATATATTATAACATTTATCAAGACTGAGCCAGGCATTCAATTGCTGACATAAATACATATGAGAAAATAAGAACTTATGTAACTGGAAATTCAAAATGCAATCACATGAACAAACAATTATATTATCATCAGAAAGTCATATACACCCAAAAATAACTTTTATAAAACATTTTTTAACGGTTTATTAAAATGCAAATGTCACTAAATACTGCAATGCATCTGTGCAACATGTCAGTTTGTGTATGAAAAGATACACACAAGCACCTAAAGACGCCACTGAGAACATGTATGGATCATTTGGTATCACAGGACACATTTACTGCACACACAACTTCTCTTTAATCCACTACTAAATCTTCAGCTGTGCAGCTCTTGGGGAAACGATCGTACCACAACGTACATGTAGTATATGCTCTGATGCGATCAATACGATAACGTGATCTTGCATAGGCAGATGGAAGGATTACAACTCCAACACGGACTATAAACCATGAAGTCCTTTTTTAACATCCACACATTTACGTTTACAGTGCAAACTTCATCTGCTGACAGAGATCATGTGATTTTGGTCACATTTATTTCTTTTTTCACTAAATCTTACATGGTGGCCAACCTTTCCACCTTTTAAAAGAACAACCCTTAAAGTGTCAAAAACGATTTAAAGCTCACTTTTAAAATACTAAAAAAAACACTCAATTGAGCCATTCTGGAATGTGTCAAGTGCTAACTTAGCCATCTTTCACAGGTAATGGAAATTAAGATTGATTCATGTTAAGAAGAGAATCCATTACGACCCTGCTGTTCATTTCTGCTTACACAGAGTAATTACCTTTCCATCTTACATTTGTGAAAAGATTAGTTGAATAAATGAATTTCAAGACAATGAAACTGGTTGTGTTGTGTCACGCAGACACACAAATTGCAAATTAAGTGTTAATAGCGTGTCCCGTCAACCTGCTTCCTCGTTTGTGACTGATAGTGCCCGTAACACATAGAAACGTGATGTGTTGCTTTACAGAGGAAAACTCCTGGCTGTAAAAACCCCCGCGTCTCCCAGACTCTCGTTTTGTTGAAATTAACGCAGCGGGGGGAATCTTTCCATCTGTGTTAGGCAGACAACTGAGCTATCAAAGCTTTCTCACACACTAGTTCCTGTGTCAACCAAGGCAAGGATAAAACCCCAATGAGTGTAAAAAAAAAATGTCATCAAGAAAAACATCATGAGAGAATGTGGCGTTTTATTAGCAAAGGATATGGGGAAAAAATCCTCTTTCAACGCCTTTGAACGGTAGAGTAAAAAAAAGAATAATATACAATGATTGCTTTCTCTTTCAAAATGTTTATTGAAGATATAATTCACGTCGGAGTGTAATTGCTTTCTAGAAGTTCTAATTACCGATGTAGGGATTGCATGCTAATAATAATAATAATAATAATAATAATAAATCAAATGGCTGATTGTTCCTCTGCTTTCAGTGCCGTACGAGGTTAACATTGTCACAGTTAGTTAGTTCACAGTAGCATTATTTACTGACTGTTGTCCCTGTGTTTTGCAGCAACTGTTAAAAATGAGGGAAGAATTGAAAGAACGGGAGTCAGAGCTGGAGAAGAGTGTGGAGGACAAGCAGCAGCTGAACAACCAAGTGCTGAACCTGAAGGAAGGCCTCCTGAACCTGCAAAACACAGACATAGTGCAGGTTAGTGTGAAGGAAAACACACTTTCTGTTATTATATTGGTTTCCTTAAAATGAAAAAAAAGGGGGGGGGGGGAGAAACTTGTTTCCTTGTTATGCTTTAATGAAAGTTCATTTCTGGGTCACCCTCTTGCTTCAAAGTGAACGCTATCTAATTTGCACTTTAATAGGAAAGAAATTAGTTCAAGATGATTTTCAAAGCATGAGAGATATTGAAGAAATAAATCATCAATAAACAAAAGGGCGGATTGTGACAGTTGATATAGCTTTGCGTCGAGATAATGACGACACATTTATTTCTAAGCTCATCAGATTTCCCAAAACAGCCATTATGGGTTCATCTTTATGATTTCACCACGGCGGGAGGAGACAGTTTCTAACTTCAATCATTGTTCTGGTGTTCCCATTTTCCTCCCAGGGAGCTCAATTCTTTCTTTCTCAACGTATAATCCACTCTTTCATTTCTAATTTCCCTCCAAAAATGTTTAATAATGCAACTTTAATATAATTTCCCTTCAATAAGCATATGGTATTGTACAATTATGCATCTCGTAAAAAAAAAACCTATTCTACCAATTATAGTTTAAAGGCCTGTTTGTTGTCCTTTGTGAGTAGTAAACGTATTTGCTCCACAGTTTTTAGTGTCCTATTAAAGCTTGTTTTGCATTAGTGGGAAAAACCTTCATTAACGTTTCACATCTTCACAAAGAGTTTCAAAATCACTGCAAGCTGGCTATATCCCTTCAGGCTTGTCTAATGGCACTTTGGATGTATTTTGTGTCCTATATAATATTAGACTGACTATCTTTGGGTTTTCAAGTGTTAGTCAAATCAGATGAAGTAACTTTATATTGTCAGCCTGGCCTCTGGGAGATTCTACAGGGCTTCTTTCACTGTTTTCTTGCATGGTATCGATATAACGATTAATAATTAAAGGAGTCTTCATCTTATTAATAATGAAAATAATGGTTGGTTGCAGTGCTGTACATTGTTATCGTCCACTACATGGCTACATCGGCGCGTAGTGAGGAAATGAGGCTTTCAACACCAATTTAAAATCATTGTTACTAGTTTGTTCCACACCAAAACTTTTAATTGTGTAATCAAAACAATGCCTAGTTCGCTATTCAGGTTCGGTAATGTGAGAAGGAAAGAGTAGTGATAAAAAGTGAAAGACTAACAACGGCATTTCTTCAAAAAAATCGAAAGTATACATGTTCAAAAAACTAATTTGAAAAAAATCCATTCAACGACCATGTATCGCTTTTTGTTGTAGTTATCGTTTTTTTTATTAAGTATAGATTGCTGGCCATGAATGAAAAACAAACAAACAAAAGTTTCTGCAGAAATGTAATCTCTGGTGCCTACAGCGATTCCCATTCCCCTGGTGTCCCCATCTGTTCCATGCAACGCCCGCTGTACAGCACGATAGTGAGCGCTCACTTTGGTGCATGTCAGTGTCATCATGAGTCTGAACAGATGTAGTCAGTCTCAGGAAATACGCTCCAGGTGTAGGACATTTTTCCTCGGGCTCTTCTAGCATTAAGTCTTTCCGTTACAGCATGTAAACTCATCCAGGATAGGTTCACATGTTTTCATAAAACAGTAGCTAGTCGTCTATATGAACATAGAAACATTTTTTGCTTGCTGTTATCTTTCCTCCTGTTCATACTGAAAAGTGATGGATCCCTTATTCAATTATGTAAGTGAAAAAAAGACATTCTAAGTTGAAATGAGACTGCAGTTCATAACAGAAACACTGTCTTCTGAAACATAAAAGGTGTGTTCTGTATTTAAAGACTCCAAGATTGAAAGATATCCATTTGACTTGTGTGATTACGGCTGCTGAAGAATCAAATGACCTGCAGATAAACGTAGGAATTTATTTTTGTTAATGTATTACAGCAAACAAGATCTTTGTCATATAGCCATGTGAGTTTAGTTTTAAGTTGGCCTCGAAAAAATGTGAACTTATCAGTGACTTTATAAGTCCAAAACATTCAATGCTATACCCGCTCCCCCCTAACGCACCCTATGTTGGCTTTTGAATTAGTTTTTCTTACACATTTCTTGTTGCTATGTTGAACAAAATAAGGACTGACGTGCTGGTGCAACAGCATGCTGTCTTGTATCAAAAGTGCAAATAATACAAAGCCTGCCACATAAATACTATAACAAAATATAATGTTTTTGTCTCACATCAAATTCAGAAACCCAAATATATATCCATGTATTTTCTTTTAAATGTGTGCTTTCCCATCAGACAAGATGTTTCCTTTTAGTTAATGTGTCCTCTCCTCTCATCTAACTGCAACCACATATAAAGACCCAGAAGAAACCCATTCGTGTCCTAAGTGGAAACACATTGAGTACGGTTTACCACAATCAAATTGTTTCCTGAGTTTCCCCTGGCTGAGATGTTATGTGACATTGACCACCAGATACCCAATCGCGCACTCTCATTCCTGAACATTTTGTCCGTTGGACCACATCAGCACAGGCCACTAAGATATCCCGTTGATATCACTATGTGCTCACAGTACTTTAATAGTGTGATCCCCACATAGGGAGCTATAACCCGCACAAGACATTGCACAGTTGTAAACCACGGTGGCTTTTACACAGGACCACATCATCAGTTAGAGCCACTCCAGCTACATTACTCATCCATCCCAACATCCCATTTGTTATTTGAGCGAACATGTTGCTTACATTGAGGAATGTTTCTCCCAACAAAACCCCGTCTAAAATTGATTAGAGGCGAGCTGTTTTACCGCAAGACTACACTGCTAAATACATTGCAGCATGATGTACAATCTTCGAAAACAATTTCAACTTTCAAGGGTCATTTTTCTCTGTTAGACAAGTCATGTTTACTAATGTTTCAGGTGTTGTCCCATATTCCCTGCATCCGAGTGCTAATGTTTGTTAATGTTCATTCAGGCTCGGTATAATGAGAGGAATGGCTGTCATTACAATGAGCCTCAGGTTCAATCGCCTATTAAATTGGATAATAATACAAGCGAGAAGATCTCAATCCACGTGGGGAGCTGCTCACCGCGTCGCCCGTTTGCTTCGAGGTGAACGAGCCGACTGCAGGTTTCAAATAACGCAGAGGAGAATTAGTAATTAGCTCAAATGTTTCTGCCGTCACATCAACCGGAGTGACAGGGTTGTCAATAGCGCGCTAATGGTGATGAGTTTGATTACAAATGTGCAGCCACAAAAGTGAGCCCTGGGAAATATGCTAATTAAACTTCTGCATGTGGGCATACATGAATCATGAGAGGCAGTCTCATTACAGGGAGAAAGAGAAATCAATTGTTGGGTGTAGGCTTGTCTGAAGATTAGCAGTTATTTGGAGGTTGTTTGTCATGCTATTGGTTATTCTTCACCGGTCACAGAACCTGCCGTCACCCCGCAGTCACCTCACATTACAGGTCGCTGAGGCCATTAACCGTATTACTATTATGATCACAACAAACGCCCCTCATCGCCTTTTTCCATATTAATGGTAGAGCTGCCACTAATGATTGTTTTCATGTTTGATTGATGTGTTGATTATCTTTCTGAATTCAACAGTGATTTAGTTTTGCATCTCTTTTAGAGGTATTTTCAGAGATGTGTTCAAAGAAAAGTGGTCAAAATTAGAAGATGTATTGAAATGTAGTCCCTAGTATAAGCTCCAAAAATGCAACCCAGCAGCATCCCTTTTCGACACTTCTTGTCTGCTAAATGTACTCCATGTTCTCCAAACCCCCAGTTTGTATTCAGGCTCCAAATGTCTTGAGCTCAAATGAAAATAATTCCAATGACATTTTCAGAAAGCTCCCTTCAGGGCCACTGAGAAAGTTTTAAAGCTGGTACAAGCAGTACTCTTCGCCACAATCAAACTAATGTTCATATGAACAGTGGGTGGGTGGCCCCTTTTTAATGGATCATTGAGTCTATAAAATGTCAGAAAACTGTGAAAAATACTCATCATAGTTCAAGTGTCTCTTTTGTCCAACCATCAGTCCAAAGCCCAAAGATATTCAAATGTAAATGTTAAAAAAAAACATAAAAGCAACACAGGAGTGTGTGGAAGCTAGCGTTTACGGATTTGAATAAATATATATAATACTTTTATAATATATTAATTGTCGCAACTACCTATAATTCAGCCAACACAGGTCAAATCCATATGGGCATGGCAAATATTTCCTTTTTTAACATGACGTAAAAGATTATAAAACCAAGTGAAATGGGTAAATATGTGTAAAATAAATGATTAAATCCAGTTTCTGTCATTGATAGAAAGAGGAAAGGCACAAAGACACATCCTGTCTATTGACTGGGTTCTGTGTAGGGTTAATTTAGCCCATAGGGTTAAAAGGTTGAGAAGCACTGGTCTACTTGAACAATTGAGTAATAACCTGCACACTAATATATTCCCAGGAAATCACACAAAGTCTTTCCTTGTTACGCATTTTAACAGCAGAGTTAATTGTATCCACATGAAGTTCAGTGTCTTTGCCTTCCTTGTTCGTTCGAAATCAGCACATTTCTGGTCACTGCTCCAAAAAATAAACAATTCCCGTGTTTGTCTGTTTTTGCACACCATGCTGTGCACCCCGTCTGTCTACATTAGTGCTTAGCTTATTTCTCTGTGGCGTTTCCTCACATGTTTCTAATGTGCCACAGCTGGAGAAGTCGCAGCAAGATGACAGAGGTGGCGAGGACAACGCTAATCAAACCAGCGTAAGTGGAAAAAGCTGTAGCACTCCCCACCCCTCTGCAGATATTGTTTTGTGTCCTTACTCTCCCTTTCGTCCTCCTTTGACTTCCTCTCCCAGTGACATGACAGATAATTACAGGCCAATCCAGTTCACTGTAACTGGATTTGTCATTGAATAAATCACCCAGGCTCAACTGGGCTAGGAAATAAAGGAAGTCATGAAGTGAAAATGGTTTGTCTACACACCCACACAGTTGAGTGTTATGGATAGATTAAAAACGGAAAAAGGGCCACCAGCCATTCCACACCATGAGTGGAAAAAGTACTCACAGTACTATGTAGGACAACAAACATACAAAAAGTCTTCTGTTATACCTCCCCCATTTTTCTGCCACCTGTCAGCGATCTGAAACAAACAGCTTGATCACTTCCCTTCCTAGTCTCTACCTCCTGTCTCTTCATTTCCTCTTCTTACACCTCTCTTTTTTGGTTCTGTGTGTTTGAAAATCAGCAATATGACTGCTGGAAGAAAAAACTCCCCCGCCTCATTATCCTCATCCTCATTGTCTCTCCGTATTGATGTGTTGGTGGTGAAACTTTCTGATGTGTTCATTCCCACTCCTGTTTGTCTTTCTGTTACGTGCCATGCATCGACTTTAGGTTAAGCTTGTTTATTTTCTCCTCAGCCACAGTCAAACAGTGGCTGTTAGCAGATTTATTGGAGGTAAATATGTAAATGTGTGTGTCTGTGTGTGTGTGTTTGCAGGAAGCCACAGTGTCAACAGTGGTGTCCTGCAGTCAGGAAAAGGAAGGACCTCAGGAGAAAAATCCACTGAGTCCTGTGAACTCTGAGAGGGAGGCTCTGCTCGTTGGTACGCTGAAACTCATCCTCCACTGCTAACATCACTTGAACATTATTAGTAGAAGTTGCAGATACGACATACGAGCAGGCACACAAGTGTTTTGTTATTAAGCAGTTTTAGGTATAGACCAGTTTAATGTTTTCCTGAGTTGTTCTGTGTGTTACTTGGTTAGTAGGGCTGGGCCATACTGAGAAAACCAAAGCACATCATATTTTAGACCAAATAAATGTAGTTATTTGGTTAATGGAACTTACATTTAGGCTGAAAAGCACCTTCAAAGCTTTAGTAGGCTTAAAAAAACATCATTGTATGTACGATCATCAAAAGGCAAATGTCCAAAGGCAAAAGTGCTTGTATCTGCTGCATATTCACACATGGCTACTCTAGTTTTCCCCAGGCTGCACCCTAAAACCTCTCTATTAGAAAACTGTGGCTCCAGGCTATCTTTGATCCGATCAGTCTGAACACCACACTCTGCTGCCATATTAGTCACTCATATTAATAACAAAATGTTATCGTTTCACACAGGATAACAGGGTTTTGATTTTGCTCTTATATTCTTCTAGGGGAGAGGTATATAATTGAACTCAGATAAACCAAAACCTGATTCTGTTTTTTTGGCAGTGGTTTCTGTGGTTGCCATGGTCACGCTGAAAGTAAAAAAACAAAATGAATGTCCTCTCCTTGCTGCAGCAGGTCTGTCATTGGGAAAACAATGCAGGTGACAGCGGCAACCTCTCTGTCTGAAGAGCAGCCCCCCCTTTGCATTCATGGTGTGGCACCTGCACACTCCAGGTGACAGGAGCAGTTGAGTGTAGAGTAAACAAAGAAAGCATGACAGTAAGGGTAAAAACAGGCTTAATTGCAACCAATTGCACATCAATAAAGTGGGCATTATTGTAAGATAGTTGTAGAAAAAGGCTATAATTATTGCTGACCACCTCCAGTGTCCCCATCTAAAAGTGTTCAGGTTTCATCATTGTATTTAGTGTCTCTAATGTGACATTATTCCATGCTTTAATGTTCAAAAAGCTCTTTATTTGTCTCATACTGCCTGTGCTGCAGCACCTCTTCTCACCCTCTGTCTGAAACCAGAGCCCAGTCGGCTCTGATTGGTTAGCTGGCGGGCTCTGTTCTGATTGGTCAACCTCTTGAAGATGTCCCATCCCTTAGCACATGAGTCGGCAACAGGCGGCCCAAATAATATTTGGCCCGGAAAATTGGCTTTGTTTTGAAAGAAAGGTTTTGGCTCATCGGACATTTATGAGAGAAAATCCCTAATGTCCGAGTGCAAGTGAATGCAGCACAAGACGTGAGCCTTGTAACCCCTCCCCCGGCCCTGGCGCGAGCATGGAAATGTGATTGTCATTTGAACGGGACGGCGCAAAACGAGAAGCATTCGGTCTACAACAGAGACTGTCAGCATTGATTCAAAACGCACTAAAGCTTTGGATCTTAATAAGTTTGTGAGCAGGGGCGGAAAATCTGGAAAATCACAGAACGGCCGGTCGTCAAGGGCCAGCTCGGTTCGCTGACGGCCGGCACCGCAGGCTCCAAAAGGCCAAACTTACTTGCCGACCCCTGCCTCAGCAAATCACATGCAATGTGTTTGAGCGCTAGCCAATAGAAGAGCAAGTGTTTCATAGTGATGTTAGCCTTTGCAGACCATTTACATGCACACAAACCTATATAACACACTACAGCAAAGGAAAAACCAGAAAGCATAATTGGCCCTCTTTAAGTAATTGACACTCCAGAGACCTGGAGGCAGGCAGTATTTCAGTGTAGGGTTATTGTTTGGTTTCTTGGGCTTCTGGCAATGTGCTTGAAGTGTAGAGAGGCAATCCAACATTCACAGAAAGGTTGGAGGGGGGGGGGGTTCAGAGGGGGCTTGCAGCTAAGGTTTGCCCAAGGCACTGCAGCAGGTCACCATGGCCATGGCATTGTTGAAAAACTGGCAGCAGGTGTGAACGCTCTACATTCTTCAGGTGCCTTCAGAAACGGCACAACTGCATACAAAGTCAGGAGAAATACTCCGAGCGTTGCTCTAACTGAAGCAATTTATTTCTAGGGTGAAATCTCGACTATTGCTGTTGAGAAAGGGTTATACTTTTGCATCATAGTGTCAAGAATAATCTTCCGTTTCCCTTCATCAGACCAAGACAAATGTTATATTCACAATTGGCATTGTATCCACAGTGGTAAGAATCAGAGCAGTACTTAAAGGAGGGAATATGGTGTAAAAATAATGGGGACAATTGGAATTCCTGTTGAGCATTACGAAAATGTAAATCAACTTTTTCTAATGTTTGATAATAAATCTGAGCCTTAGCATGGACATTCACTCTAAATCACCCACATGCTGTGTGTGCAGATTGCCAGATGCAAACGTCTTTATTATTACTTGGCGAACATGCTCATTGGCTCTTTGAACGCAAATAAACACAGACAGCCAAACCATTCCAGTGGGCGAATCATGCAAATACATCATCATGAAGTTCTGCTTGGTATTGTATTTGAATGGACCATTAAACTCCCAGGCAGTCTCTTATTCATCATCAGTGCAGCAGCCCCAGTCTAGTACTTTGTTTGTTTTCAAGCTTCGTCTGACCTCCTGCAGGTGGCAAAAATGAAACCTTGAAGTAGTCATTTCCTCTTAAAAGTCTCAAGTGATTGAGGTATTGTTGCTCCAGTGTCGGAGGCAGGTAGAATGCCCTTTTTGATTCGTTATAGGTGGTTAGTAAGCAGAGGTGGGGGGATTATCAGTCTGCTGTCTGTGCGCTGATAGCAGATGGTTTGTTTGAGCTGGGGGAGAGTCTGGCTTTGATTAGAGACAACGACATCAAAGCTGTCATTAAACACTCTAATCTGGAGCCACGATATACAAGAGGCTCTAACAGTGCGGGGACTCTGGGAGAAGCCACTGGAAGCTCCTGTTAGACTCAGAGAAGGAGCACATCATCTGGCAGTTTGTCAATGTTCAACAGGTGACATGTGACTGCTTTCTCATCTCTGCATTGTTTGCTCTCCTCCAGGGATCATTGCAACGTTCCTGCACGTCCACCCGTTCGGAGCCAGCATCGAGTACATCTGTTCCTACCTGCAGCGCTTGGACACCAAGGTAAAAGAATCCAAACTGTGGGGAAAATGAGCAGAGCCTGGCCTCAGCTGCGATCTAGAGTAGATCCACCCAAACAGACAGTTTGTCAGCCCCACCCCCCCACCGGGCTGACATACGGGCCTGCAGAGTGCCAGGGTCCCGCTGCGCACGGAGACACACGGCCGCTCAGTGAGAGAGCTTCCTAATGCGCTCTATAGAAATGGACGCTTTTGGAGGATTTGTCTTGAGGGGAGGCCCAGGCTCTTAAAAGAAAGAGATTGACATTTTGGAGAGAAGTATTTATTTTCTCATCCACAATCTCTGCCGAAATGTCAAAGTATCTCTAAAACAGTCAGGATAGGATGGGCTACATGCAGATGTGATCTCATTGAGGCTTTTGCAGCAGACGCCTGAATAGGGATGAGTTCGGGAAAATACCCAGCTTCTTTAATTTGAATGCAAATGTTCAAGCCTTCTTGTTAGCAAAGAGCGATAGAAACATAAAAGTTGCAGCCACTGCTTGCTGGTTAAAATGAAGCTTTATTTTTGTAACGGCTAAGGTTCACTGCAGCTGTTGTCGAGATACAGCCATAGTTTGTAAGTGGAAAAAAAACATAATTTCATACCTCCACTGTGTGTTAGCCAGTGGATTGTGTGTTTTCTTAGTTTAGAGGGACGAGCAGAATGAGTTTAGTACTGGAATTGAATTTAATACAAATTGTATTTAACAGCTAGGAAACAATCATAGAGAAAAAGACAGTTATACAAAAACACAGCATTAAAAATAACGAGACATCTCTCATTATCCGTTTGGTCAGAAGTAGAATCTTCAAAAACTTCTGATACGATTTCTCTACGTTTTTTATCCGTATGGCTAGCCGTATCTGGCTAGTTGTGTGATTTCCCTCGATGCGGGAACATATTAAAACTAGATCCTTGATTTTGACACTTGAAGCCAAATACCGCCCTCAGTTTCCACTCTGTCTGGCGAAGCAAAGCTATTTTATCCCCGTCTTTCTGGGGAGGCATTCCACACCTATTGCCGCTCTCCACTGCCACTTACACAAGGCTTTCAAAAGGCCAACATTCAATGTCACCTCCAGAAAGTAGAATAGATTAAAAGCCATTTCTTCCCTCCGTCCCTACGTGGAGACCGACAGAAAAAAGGGCAAAGTCACCAGCCACACACAAGCAGAATAAACATTTTATCCTTCAGATTAGAACATACCTAAATTTACTCATTACTTTGTAAAAATGTTTAAAAACCTTCTCCAAAAGTTTGCCCAGCTCTTTGAATATGCTCATCATCACCCTGACTCATTCTCACACATGCAACGATAAATAAGTGTGACGTCTCCTCTCATGCCTTTTGGTGTTTTTGTTGTCTAGTGCGAGTGTGTGTTCATGTCTTGCTGCGTGTGAGTGTGTGAGCATACACCCACGCCTGTCTGTCTGTGTGCGTACCAGTTTTGCCAGCACCTGTGCATCTGTTATTCGCTACACACATCAAGCAGCCAGCAGAGTTTTGTCAATATCACTGACGAGACTCTCCACCAACAAGCCGCTCCTCTGTGCTTATCTAGCGGCTCCACACACAGCTCCATTGTCTGTGGTGTCACATCGCTCCTATCTCCACGATGGACCTGAATGCATCCTGACATTAGCACAGGGTTAGAACAACGTTGTTTATTAATACAAAACCGTGTGGGTCCTCTACAGTGGATTGTCTTCGTCACCTCGATATTTCAGATTAGTCAGGTGGCTGCTATATCGTCACCCTATAAATGTACTTGCACTATGATTCTGTGATTTGTTATGCTTTTTTCGTTATTCTCGCGTCCAGGAGAGAAGCTTTAAAAGTAGACTAATTGAGTCTCTGAGAATGTTCAAATGGGTACTTTAATTAAAAGAAGCGCGGTAATGTTACAAGCAGAATATTGTTCAGTGAGGAGAGAAAGGCTGCAGCTTCCTCTCGCAGTCGTGGCCGTGGAGAAGACAACCCACAAAGCCTTCGTCCTTCCCGCTTGCTGGCTGTTTGCTCCTCCTCTCTAGGGGCTGTGGTGACGTAGGTGACTTCCCCCTCGTTCTTCTGTGGTCCAATATTGCGTAACGGCAGTATTTCGGCCATTTACATTCATGTGCTTACTTCCACATGCCTTCTTCTCCTTCTATTTCACTTTCCATAACTTTATATTATACATGTTAACGGCGTCAATAGCGACTTTAATGATATAATGGACGTAAACTCCCGGGAATGATACTAATGGACGGTAATCCCGGATGTCGTCATGAAGGATTTTCAGAATAAAAGCTTGGTATTGGGAACTTCCGGTTTTTTCCAGAATAAAATAGCATTTAAACCATAGATTTAAACTGACGGTATGTTCTAACTAAATGATGCCATCAAAACATTGATTTTAATTTCTAACAGTTTCAGTGGAGGTGTGAGAAGAGAGGCGCTGCGTAAAGGAATAAAGGGTGGATGTATGAGAAATGTCTAGTTTGTTATAGCATCCAAAAAGATGAAGCCTATTTCATAGCAACATCCCCTCCTTACTTGTTTCTATAAAGCTTGCAGAAATTAAAAGTAGCCTTTTTGAAAAAAAGTTACGCCTGCATACGAATAACAAACACAGATTTATGCAAATAAAAACTCATCTCAGCTGGAAGTAAAGAAATAGAATATATATATATATATATAATATATATATATTATATATATATGTATAGAAATACAAAAAATCAATCAAATGTTACGAGCACCATGTTTTATATCATTAGACTTCATGACGATGAATAAAGAACTTGTATCACACATTAAATACATTACTTGTAAATTAGTAGGCATCACTCTTTTCATCAATCAATAAAATACATCTCATGCACTTGAACGTAGCAAACTTACATTTGTGACTTGGCATAAAGAGTTTACAGACTGTACCAACAGACCTTTTTCTTATTTTAATGCTTCAAACGTTTATATACATCTCTACACAACATTGGGTTATTCTTTATTATCACAAAAGTATCTGATCAAACAGGAGTGGTTTGCGGAAGTGACTTGTTTAGAGTCTACGGTGCTACTTTGTCTGGAGCTTTTATAACAGCCAGTCAAAAATACTTAGTTAATTGAAGCTTAAGGTTTTTCCAGAGTCCATTAAAATATTACCATTGTGGTTCCGTCAAAAACAAGCTTCAAAGTTCAAGGCGGATGAAAATGAAAGCCTGCATCAGCAGCCAGCAGAAAGCCAGTCACTGGTGGCTTCTGCAGACTGTCTGTCACTTCAAAGGTTTGATTGGCACTCACACAAAATCCAGTGGGAGAGTTATGTTTCCAAACCCTCAGATAAAACGGCAATTTGGAGATGGATGTAGAAAGACTGTGTGTGTCGTCTCTGTTAATATGGATTTAATAACACTGGTGTGTGTGTGTGTGTGTGTGTGTGTGTGTGTGTGTGTGTGTGTGTGTGTGTGTGTGTGTGTGTGTGTGTGTGTGTGTGTGTGTGTGTGTGTGTGTGTGTGTGTGTGTGTGTGTGTGTGTGTGTGTGTGTGTGTGTGTGTGTGTGTACGTAGATCAACACCAGTGAGGTGGAGGCTCTTCTCTCTCGACTGCCCTGCACCTTCAGGCAGGAGCTGAGCGGAGTCGGAGCGAGTCTGGAGAAACGCTGGAGCTTCTGCGGCTTCCAGGGCATCAAGAGCACATAAACTCTGCTGGAGACGCTTCTGGAGAGACGACAGACAACATTGGGACACTGTAGAGACATGAAAGACACAGTTTAAAACCCAGAAATATCAAAGACTGTACCTGTACAAGGACACAGAAGACTGAGCACACTGGAGGGAATGTTACACCAACATTTCACTGACTCTGTAGGTGGCAGAGACGTGACAAAGCATCCCAGTATCAGAATGATGCTTGAAATCACATGGCTAAGTCTTCATGAGAGTGAACTCTGTGTCTGCTACCATATTTCTAGACCAAACGACTCTCTAGGAGTCACAGAAGACAACCGATTCCCACAGTCACTGGATTAATATGTAGTCATCGCCAACACGAGCGGATAATTGTGATTTCTGAGCCCGTGGGGGGGGGGGCTCTGTATGGTGTCAGTGTGCGCCAGGACTACAGGGCTAACCGAGGCGGCGGATCAGGGTCAAACCGAACACTCTGGTCTCCATCTCTCCCCTTTTTGCTGTTCCTGGTTTGTAAAATAGATCTAAAATGGATATATTTCTTCATTTTCTGTAAAGGCTGTTAACAGTTGCATAGAATCATTTGTTGTAATACACTGTAAATGCTTGGATGATATTTTTGATTATAAAAACACACATTTGAGTATATAAAAAAGGTTTTGTTAATTTTGTTTGAGTATCACATACTCAGAGGCTGCTGTAAAATAATTGTGTATGTTTCTGGTGCAGGTTTACAAACATCTTTTAATCCTGCCAACCTTTGCTATTAATCGTGAAAGCCAGACACAAAAGCACCTGCACAGAGATAAGTGGTCCACATTTAAGTTGTGTGCCCATTCTTGCTTGAAGGGCATCATCTTTTATAACGTCTACCTGTTTTTGTTTCTGCAATAATAACTCAAGGCTAGTTTTAGAAGCTTACATAAGGGCATTTCTGTCTTTGAAAAGCAAATGAGTCTTTCAGCCAGTCTGAAAGCAAAGCACAGAGGCATCACACTTTACAGGGAAACACACCTCGGGGATCATGTTAATGATGTTTAATTGGTGAGGCTGTTGTTGTGTGCTGCTTCCATCAAGGTACGTGCCCAAAATGTGTGTGTGTGCTACTTGCCTGGATCCATATATTAAGTGATTATACAACCTCCTTCTGAGAGAGTTTTCTTTCTCCAGTGGTGGAGGTTCCTCCCAGAAGCCCAGTGAAGCGCTCTTAATGCGAGGCCACTGGGCTATTTGGCGGCGTGCTCTCGTCGCTCTGACAAACAAAGGATTATGATTACACATGATTTCATCGGCCTCCTCCATCTCCTACAGTCATTGCATTTGAAAAAGAATAAGCGCTCAGGCACTTGTCAGCATACTACCCCTTGTACCTGAATTAATAATGGGAATGAGTATGTTTTGACGACAAGCCGCTACAAGGCATTCCTTCCGTGTGCATGTATCCATTATTAACAGCATTGGTTTGAACAGAAAGAGTTTCATGGGTGAGAAAATAAAAACTGTCCTGGGAGTGGAGGTGCCTGCATGTTAAATATAGAATGTAACCTCCAACCCAATTCGTTTGTAGGCTTCTGTCAAGCTTGATTAGGACAGAGACTGAATGCTGGTGCTGTATTATAGTGGTTTATTATTGGATATGCTGTCATGGCAATGTGTTAGAGCAATGATCAGCGTTGTCTCTTTCTATTTGAGAAATTTCAAGTCATTTCCGACACGTTGGATGAGGAAGTGCAAATCCATACTCTTCAGCTTCTGCCTGCCTGCCTTGCACCTGGGATGGTGAGAGATGCTGCCTGTGTTGAGTTGTGCATCGCTACACTTCCTCTTCACAGTGTAAGATCTCAGCAGAACATCCCCGAAGCCCCCCTCACACCAGCCTCTCCTCTCCCACTCATTAGTTTCTCTCATGCTCTCCCTAACATCAACAAAACACCAATATGGTGAATTATTTTCTTTCAGAAGCTGCTTTCTGTCTAGCGCTTCCTCCCAACTGAGTTTCTATTCCTACGCACTGATTTACTGCAGGCACTTGCAATTTGTCTCTTTTACAGCTGTATGTGTGTGAGTGTGTACGCACAAACATTTGTGCATCAGGTTCTCGGGCATCACACAAGGAGGTAAACACGGACTAATTAAATCCAGCAGCAGTCCCTGGTGAATGGCGCTCTCCATTCACTGTTGTCTTCTCCTCGCTGCGACACAGTGAGGAGCCTCCTCATTAATTCAATTCAAGGTGAATGCAAAGCAAAGCTATCTAAGGGAGTCATTTTCGTGCACCAGCGGTGAATACGCCGTAGGATGACTCCCACCTCGTGAAGTCACGAATGGGAGATGTTTGAAGATCAAATTCTGAGCAGAATTATAAATGTACAGGCGCCATTTTGGTGGGATTTCTTTGAATAACTTTGTAAATACATCACGTTTAATTATGTAATTGGACATGAGGAGATAACCACATTCTTTTGGGTGATATCATGATGCTCGAGATACCCTTAATTACCTTTTCCTCTCATGTTGCTTCCTTAAGGCTTCCAAATCTAACTCATTATGATTATGGCCTCCCTTGAGTGAGCAGGTGAGAGCATGCTAGCTGTGTGTGGTCCATAATAAGATCACAACAAAAAGTGGATTAGACAGAGGTTCTCAACTGGTCAGGTCTCTGGACCCACTTTTTTCTTTGTCAATAAATCGCATATATCCCTTCACGGAACTAAAGTATGCTTTTAAAAAAGGTTTAATGAGATGATGGAATCAAAGATGAACTGTATAACATAAAAAGGCCCACATGCCGAAAACCCAACCCCAGAAAAAAGTCTGGAGGGATTCTCCCCGAGGAGATTTTTAGAAATACTAACATATAAACTACGCATTCTGGTACACTCTGAGAAGAAAATAAATGCATCTATTACTACCCGACATTTTAATAATATTTTATGCCATTGTTTGTGTTTCACTTTGTTCTGACAGCTGAACTTGCTGCTCCACACAGAGAGAAGAGTAAAGAGGAGATAGTTTGTGTGAATTACTTTAAATTGTGGGTTAGGGTAGACAGCCCCCATTGTTCTGTGACCTGTCAATCATCAAGCCGGGGGTCATATTTCATTACGTGTTCATTTTTAGATAAAAATGAACACGTAATGAAATATGACCCCCGGCTTGATGATTGACAGGTCACAGAACAATGGGGGCTGTCTACCCTAACCCACAATTTAAAGTAATTCANAACTACAGTGTTCTATACAACGGACTACATGGATGTTTAATAATGGATGTTTAATAAGAACGAGGGACTCATCTAGAGACTCTGCACCGTGCTCTGATGCTGTTGTTTTATGCTTTATGAACGTGGACAACAGAGAAACATATTCTTCATGACCAAAGTTGTAATTGAAATAAAAAAGGAAAGTGAAATTTATGCTCGTCACCCTCTCCCTCCGGTCCACATTAATACAAATGATCCCAATACGTATGATTGTATGAAAATATCTTAAAATCAATACAAATGTATTTATTATAAACGTTAGTCCTTAACATCTATCACTGTTTACATCACCATTCAAACATCTTTTAAAAGTTGAACAAACCCCACACAGCTCAGTGAAATGTTGACTTTATTTGATCATTTCAGTAAAAACTAACGTTCATATTTCTCTTTTTGATTATAATACTGATGAACGTTCAAAACAAAGCACTTTGCAACTTACCACATACGTTTTAAAATGCTTAATAAGCACCGTAACTTTCATGATATAATTTCTCCGTCATAATCGTTTGTTTCCGTGAACGGCCGACTGTTGTGTGATGCAAATGCTGCGGCTGCAAGGCATTGTGGGGCAGCATTTTCTCCTCTCCTTTCGGTGAGGGAGGTCCAGTGGTTCCTAAGCTAAAGGAGGTTATAAAGGAAGTTTGAAACCTCCTTTCCTTTCATTTGGAGAATTGGAACGGCACTTAACATGGCTGCCACTGACGTACTTCCGGGTCATTTCAGTCCGTTAGGAAGGTTCCTAAGCTAAATGGACTATTGGAACGCAAGAGATGGCAACCATGCGCGGGAAGTCTTCTTCGCTGCTTTTGTGGCAGACTACAGCGCCACTTACAGGCCTGGCATATGTACTACAGCTTCTCCAGCGCTTTTGAGCGGCAATGGCCGGCCGTGGCCCAACCCCACATTCCCCTGATAGGTGGAGAGTTGGCCCAATAGCCGTAGCGCCACCGTCCTGACATCAAGACAGTGCTCACATCTGGATCAGTTTTTATCAGATCCGTTGCAGCCCTTTTATTTGTTGAGATTTGGGTATGGAGGAAAATAGAGAGGGTTGTGTTTTCTGACACTTGGTGAGTTCCCTGGAATACCGGCGACACATATTCATGTATAAAAGACGTACAAAAGTGCTTTTTGCATGATAGGTCACCTTTAAGTTGCATGTAAATTAGCTTACCCAGCAGGCCGATTTTTAATGCCCTGAACATTCCAGATTTATGCATATGAATGATCTCCATGCTGTCAAATCAATCAGCTGACTGTCACTGTTCACTTCATCCAATCATCTTGTTGCTGTCAACATTTTAAACTGTTCATGTCTGGGCTCCTTTCAGCTGTCATGTCAGCCTTCTCCTCCCTCACCTGCTCCCCTCTACCTCCAGCGCTCCTCAGATCCAGATCCTCGTTGTGATTCAGGAGCTCATCCGATATTCTGCTCAAAGCCTCATCCAACCACTCTGAACTGAAGACGTAACTCCAGGAGGAACTTCTAATAGACATCAAGTCATCTTCTTTTCACAGTTGCGGAATGTTATTCAGATCCTTAGTGTGAAGTGCTAATCCTACACTGTAGTTTGTAAGTAGCCTATTATCAGCAAATTCATCAACAGAAAGCACTTCATCAGCAGTAAAATGTTCCACGGCAGTGCTGTTTTTGTATTAATATTACTACTGCATTCGTTTTTTTTATTGCTGTAGATTTTTAAGTTTGAATTACTTCCATCTCCTACTGCTCTGAAAAACATTCAACCTTCATCTCATCTATCCTTTAGAAATGTTGAGGTACAAGGAATCGTATCAATACTTGTAACCTGAAAAGTTACAAAGGCTATCAGAAAACTGTAGTGGCATAACAAGTACAATGTTTTCCTCGAGTTATAATGAGGAAGTTATAGAGTTGCATAAAACAAAAAAACAAATACCACAGTAAAGTAAAAGTACCTTACATTTGTAAAATACAGGATTTGAGAAAATGTACTTAGTTATATACCACTCATTTAATAATAATAATTTAGACTCGTCGCCTCAGCGAATACTGTGTGTATCTTTACACTGAAACTATACAACTAATATGTTTTTATCTTTACTTTTCTATCATTCTGTAATGATTATAAATTACTTAAAATGTGATGAATAAAAGTTAATTAACACAATTTAAAGTAACCGTAGTGTCATCTAATGGCAAGGTCCTCATCTCTGAAGCACAAAAGTGAAATATGAAACTGAAAAATATTCACCATACAGTACGCTGCAAAACAGAAATACTTTATACAATGTCTAAGGACAGAACCTGTACGCTAGAGCAGGGTCTCCAACATTTCTCAGGCCAAAGACCCTGAGCTGAAAGTACCAGACAACACATGTATAAACTCCTGCGTTCAATAACATGCC